ATGCTGACATACAATCTCACCTACCATCAAGAGCGAACTCCAGAAGGCCAATACATCTACAGGCTTGACCCGTAAGTACTGCCTTTTCACAGAGCAGGTCAGTTTTGCACGGTTTCACAGTTGTTCTCCCTGGAAATGCAACATCTGATGCAAGAGTAGCCTGCAGTACTGGGTCCCTTGTGAAAATGAGACACACGAGCGGTGTTCCTGCTGGGCCCCGGGATTTATGGTGCAGAAGAAGCAGCTGATCAAACGCTTCGTGTTCAGAGACGCCAAGGGGATTTCAGGCTACCAAATGGGAGGGTTGAGTCCTAGTTATCCAGGTTCCCCGAGGAAGTTTCAGGGCGAATGGAAAACTGACCCTGCGGAGAAATCACTGTGGTTCCCAGGGTTGTGCGTGCAGGAGGTTTATAAAGGCTGTGTTCAAATGTGGCATCTCATAGCTAGAATCTGAAAGGGGTTGGGGTCTGTTCCATCGGTTCAGCTATACAGTTGGCCCACCTTGGAATATTTCACATATCCTGGATATTGGCAGGAAGGTTTGGGTGTATTTCCATCTCCAAGTCGCTTTGCAACTCCTATTTCAGTAGGGTTAACAAAACCTTGTTGTGACTCAAATGCCAAATTGTATACATGTGAAAGGGTGTGGTTTGTTTTTAACCTGCTTTGGGACTTGTTTCCTTTTACCATAATCCCGCTGCCTCGGCTGCAAACCCCAGGAATGTGGAAGAGGTTTGTAGGTTTCCTGATCTCCCGTTCCGGAAACCGCTGACTTACCAGGCCAAGCAGCTCATTGCGCGAGAGATCCAAGTGGAGAAGATGAGGCAGATGGAGGCCCCCCGCCAGGTATCATCTCTGCTTGGGAAGCCCCTGGGCACGGCTGGCTGGCTGGCTTGGTGGCCGGTTCTGAGGAGCTAGCAGGTCGTCAGGCTTGCCTTACCAACATCCCTTTGGATCTGGTCGTGCGCTGCGCCCATCAGGCTGGCCGGCCTTTGGTGGCAATTCAGAAGGGCCAAGCTCTCGTCCATAGTGGTTGGCTGCACCTGCCCACCACCGCCTCACTTTCCCACCGTGGAATTATTATTCATGTTGATACAATATCCAGAGGGCTTCTGAGGAGAAACTTTGGGGGGGGGGGCAGTTAAAAAAAGGCAGGGGGGTCTTTTTTGCCCACCCCATATCTTACATCTGCCCCTAACTCCCCGGTGTAGCTCCCAAAGTGCTCTGTGATGCATTAAAAGAGAACCAATATTTTTAATCTGCTCTTTTTAAAAAATAAACAATTTGGGGAAAATACATAATTTAATGGGGGGCATTTTGGAATTGATCATAAACATTTAAATTGTAAGCAGTTTTTAAGGCTGGCAGTTGAAGATTGCATACAGCTCTGGCATAACTGCTGTAATTCTCCCCTTGTTTCATTCTTCCCCCTCCTAAACGCCCGAATGCTTCCTTGCCTTCCCTCAGGCATTAGAGGCCAGGTCCCTCCCCACAGAAACCAACCATGAAACGGGGACAGGTGGAGAGCGGCGCAAATCCAGAATCAGGAACCACGAGCAAAGTCTGGGCCAAATTGTGAAGAGAGCGACAGTTGAGGAAAAGGTGATAACCATATATTATTACTTTTATTGTCAAAGTACAACATCTGTACAATGAGATTGGCTGAGCCTCCCTTCGTGCACCCCTCCCCCAACACAACTGACCACTGTCAGGAGAGAAGTCCCTAACCCAGCCCCCATCTCATTACGCTAAGTGACCTTGTTGCACAACACACCGGCCCCGCAAGTCTGCCCTACTATGTTGACATGGAGTTATTTCCCGTTCAGGAGTCTGACAGCCACAGGTAGAAACTGTTCTTCAGCCTGCTTCTATAGCCAGCCGCACCAACAGGCTGAAGAACAGTTTCTAATATAAGAGCTAGAGGGGTAGGATGGTGAATTATTGCAGAGTTTGGCCAAAGCACGTATGGCCTTGTGAGCCAACACTTTCTTTGGCCTGAGAAACCACAGGAGCTGCACGGTTAAAGATTCTGGAATACAGATAACAGATAATCAGAGTTGGAAGGGACCTTGTAGGTCATCTAGTCCAACCCCCCCCCCAAGCGGAAGACCCTACACCATTTCTGACAAAATGGCAGTCCATTCTTTTCTTGAAAGTCTCAATTAATATCACTCCCACAACTTCATTGCTAGGCAGTCTTGGAAAGGAGCTTGAGTTGGAGAGCTGTCAAAATGTCCACTAAATAAGGAAGCTGGTTCATGAAACATTACAAATTGCAAATGAAAAACATGACTTCAGTCCCCCAATTCTAGTATAGTTTATTATTGGTGGTTTTTCATCCACTCAGCCTAGCAAAGTTGCTGGTATAGATTGACCCGTTCTCAGAAAACCTGGCCGTGCCAAGGATGTAGCCACAGGCAGGGCGAGAGGCTTAGAACAAGTTTGGAAGTGGTGTTGACACGGAAGCCTTGAGGAGAATGCAGTGATCCAAGTGTGGAGAGGTTCCTTGTAGAGGTCAGTGGCCATGTTGCCAGTTGGACAAAATGAAGGCCATGAACCAGCCACAACCCCTGATTCACCCAAGGAGAAGGAAGGGTTTGTGTTCCAAAGCACCTGAGGGGCTTTTGGCTTCCTGGTCTTTTTTTCTGGGCAGGGGGGGCACATTTCCCAACAAAGCATCAGCCTGAAGTCACCCATTTTGTCTAGAAACACCAGTAGGGTCCCCAGGTGGGGGATTTTGGAATGGAGATCATGAAGCTAAAGTGGAATTTAGCCTTGTACCCTGTCAATTCCCCATTTTGTTTTATTGTTGAAAAATGTAGAGAGAAATTCAGTAAAGAAGGTGCCAAATCGGGCTCCTTTAAGCCCCTGGGGGCCCTGATGGGCATCCAGGCTCTGGCAGAGATTGTGGATTAGCTGCTGCCTGTTGTTTTGGTGCTGCTCTTTGAGAAGAGTAAACCTTTTGAGTGGCTGATGATCTCTGCTTCCCTCCCCCCAGCCAGAAAGAGACTTCTTTGGCCAGGTCAGCCTCAAGAAGAATGCAGCCCCTTCACCAGGTAAGATTGGGGCTGAAGTTTCCCTTCCCATCCTGTCCCCCACTCTGGGGAAGTGGTGGGCTAAAGTAGGGCTCAGCTCCCCTCTCAGCCTGAATTGAGGTGCCTCTTCAAGGAAATGACCCTCGCGGGGAAGAGGAATTGCTGGGTGGGCTGCTGTCCTTTCGTTCTTCGTCCTCTGCAGGGACAACTGGGGGGGGGGGATATTCTCTCTCTCTTGTTAAAGCGCACACACACAGCGTGACTAGAGAGAGCCAGTCCTTTCGGCTTCCTTGGTTGGCCAGAGTTGCATTCACTGGCTTTGGAAGCGATTTCAGATTGCAGCACAGAAATGGTGGCAGTTTTGAGTAGTTTGGCCTCGAGTGAAAGGATTGCTCAGCCCCGGGAGAACAAAGAGCCCGCCTTGCCCCTGGGGCCCCAAAAGGGGGAACAGCGAAGGGTGCAGATGAGATTTCAGCAGTCAATATACCCTGCAATCATAAAGTAGCACTTCCTGAATCCCCTGGGGGTAGGGGGGGTGAATGCACCTCAGTGAGGGACATGATGTAAAAATACCTTTGGTTTTCTGCTTTGATTTCTGACTTGATCAGGTCTGTCCTGAAGTGAGAACCAGGGAATGACTCAGGCGGGTTAAAGAAGGCAGCTTCTAGCCATGATCGGTCATCAAGGTTTGCAGCCTGATGATTCATTGTGTTTGGTTATTTTTGTTATTGTTGCCCTCCAGGGCTGAAAAAAATAACCTGAATCTCCCCTTCAGGCAGATGGAGGACAAGGAAGTCATCCGGCTGCAAACCTTAATCTGCCTTCTTTAACCCGCCTGAGCCATTCTCTGGTTCTCCGTTCCAGGCAGGCCTAATCAACCACCCCTTGTTTATAAGTAAGTCCTACAAAGAAGGGAGAAAATTTTAGTGGTGTGGTTCTAGTCACCGTTTTGACTTTATGATCACCAAAGCCCCTACAATGACCACTTTTTCCTTTTCTTTTTCTCCCCTAGAACCTGAGAAAAATACAGTCGAAAAGCAAATTGGAAAAGCTGTGGGGCAAAGTGATGTTTGGTTCCGGTTTAATGAAGGTGTTTCCAATGCAGTTCGGAGAAACATTTATATCAAAGATTTGCTCTAGCAATTAAAACAAAAAATGAAAATAAGGGCATGAAAAATCAGGCAAAAGGAGGACTTTTTATATTTTTTGTATGAAATCCTATTTTGGAGTAAATAAAGACATGCTTCCTATTGCTTTATTTCATTTGTAAACTTATTACACTCATGCAGTTTTTTACTGCAAAACTGAATTTCCTAAAATACAAAAAAATTGAAAACGCTTATAAAATGTGTGTTTATATCTAAAAAAAAAGAAAGAAGACAGCAAACAAAATTAGATTTACAAGAAAGAGCAATTGGTGGGGTTCTTAAGAAGGACTTTGATTCTGCTTCACTCTTCCTGGTTACAATTAATTTCCGTTCTTTTAGTTGCAGTGATTCAAAATAGGAAGTCTCCTCCGTACAATTTTATCCCTCCCGATGGTTCCCAAATCATGAACTGTCAGGTTTAAAATAAACGGGTCCTAACATATTGTGATGTGGCATTGGAGGCTCCCGTCATTCTGTGCCAATGAGGATAAGCCACGTTCATCCTGGTTCTCTCCCACCACACAACAGATGGCCAGGCCACTCTTCCCCTGTGCGGATAATCTGGCTTTCTGCAGGACAACCCCTTGGAGGCAAAGCCACAGCCAGGATCTGGGAGACATTGCAAATTCAGTGCCATCAGAATTTCCGAGGAAGCCGCTGTGGGAAGGCCCCCTCCAGTGCCCCTTGTGCCACCCACACCCCAAGAGTGCCCCAGAGACCAGTAATTGGGAAGCCTTCAACACAGTCCTTCCATAGGGCCCCAGCACTAACAAAGGACTATGAACGAGAATTGAGCCGGAGCGGCAAGCAAATGAATTTTGGAGCAGGTCCAAAGGAAAGCGTTTGTCAATCAGGGATGGTGCTTGGTGGACTAGAGTATTGTACATTTTCCTCTTTCCACCCAGGGGTTGTTTTTCATCCGTTCTGGGTTCAGAAATGGATCTTCTGGGATCCCATCCTCAATCCATTTAAGGAATCTAGAAAGGAACAGGAAGCAAGATCTCTCACGGTTAACATCCAGTGTTATAATTTGAATTCTTGTTACCCAGATTGATGGAGCTGTCATCTCCAGGAGTATAATTCTCATCTTTAAAAAGTGATGTTAAATTACTTCTAAATACAATTGCAAGCAGGAATTTGCAGGAAAGTCATGAGAAGTTGTGAGGAGGAGTGACAGAATTTTGTTCCAGAGCCTGAATCTTTTGCACGTGCACATCACTCATACAAAACTCTGGATCTGGCTGCATTTGTATAATGATATTTGAAAATCTCCAAAACTCAGGAAAACTCTTGGATAAAGTAGGTAATCTGCATGTAATTACTTTAAAATAGTTATTGAATAAAAGTATGCATCATTGTGGTCACAGATTGTTTTGATATCACAAAAGGCAGGAGATTTCTGGATGCAGCATGTGAATAATGTACTCCATGCTGCCTTCCATCTCTTCTTCCCCTGATCCTTGGAGTCAAATCTGGTTCATGGTGACTACAATACACAGATCCAAGCAGTTTGCCTTCCGAGACACTAACGAACCCAGTTGGCTTTGTGTCTAAAAGGAGGCTGGAAGAGGACTGGGGCCAGTCTTCTCTCCGCAGTCTAGTGTGTTTAAACACTACATCAAATCTTTACTTTTGTATCAAAGGAGGAGAGAAATGCTTTGAAATGCACAGCAGAGGTGATTTCTTTCCAGAGATGCAAAGTAATGCCCACAGTGGAATTCCCAGCCTGATTTCCCTACATGGAGGCTTATCAATATGTTATTCTAATCAAAAGTCATCATCCGACTTTGGTCTACATCAACACCCGGAATGTTGGAGAAACTCAAAATATGGCCTGGGCTTGGCTGCAGTTTGCCAGATTTCAGGCTGGATCTTTCCAGTTCTACCAGGAAATTAAATCTGGAAATATAAATGTGCAGATCCGGCCTCCATGTTAACTTGTCTCTGTACTCATTTCCCAAGTTTGCATGGAATCCCGCTCACCAAGCGGGTGGAGTTCACAAAGTATACTAATTGCAAATAACCAAAACCCCCAACCGCATTGCTTGAATGCAGCTGTTCTTTATTTAACTGATCAAGTTCTACTGAACCCAAACAAAATGTCCGAGATGTAATTCCCGGAACAAAAGCTGAATAATCATAATCCCCCCCCCCACTTTTATTGCACATTTCCCACTCCAATTTCAAGGCTTTTCTTTGCAACTTTAGGGGCTGGAAACTCAAGGCTTGTATAACATTCTAGTTCTCTTATGTGCACAAAATAATATTTGGTGAACTCACTCAGGAATTGTTTTTGAGGATACCTCCCGCTTGTAAGCCAACTGATACTTAAGGCTTTCAATTTCCTTTTTCCACTGGGGGGGATCCCACTCATCCATGGAGCCTGGTCTCTGTCGTTGGATCGATCGATCGTTATGGTCAAGGAAGGAGGAGAGACACCGCTGTAAAGAGAAAACGGGGAAAGGCTTCAGTCACTTCTAGGTATTCCTGTTCCAAAGAGCTTCGGATGAAACTTCCTCCCTCCATCCGCATAGTTTTTGCCTGCAATACAGGAAGCCTGCAACTTATGGCCACAATTGACTCCAAAATTTCTGTTTGCTAAGTGAAGCATTTGTGAAGTAACCTTGCCCCTTTTTACGACTGTTCTTGCCATGGTTGTTAAGTGAATCACCGCAGGACTGATAAACAATGAAATAATATTTCATTAATTGCCTTGTTTATCAGTCCTGCTGTCACTCCTGCCGCCTATTAAATGCAGGTGCTTGCTTGATGTTATGTTGCAGAAGCCAGTCTGTGTTTTCTCCCTTTTTCAAGGGCTGGCCGAGAATTGGCCCTCCGAAGTCCCTCCTGCCTTCGGGGCAGCAAGCATCCAACCCTAACCCAGCAAAAGGCAGCAAAAGGCAACTCGGGCTGAATGCTCTGTGACTATGGCCAGCAGGGGCAGAGAAGAAGTGGGCCAGAGGCGCAAAGCAGCCCCATTTGGCATCTCAGGGGCACTTTCTTTTCAAGCCTGCCCTGTGAAGACACAGCTGCAGAGGGCACCCAGCGATGCCAAGACTACTTCCCCTCTCCTTAGAGAAGGTTCCCGGCTGCAGGGTCCAGCCCTCTGCAACTGGCCCTCAGAGACCAACGCCTTGCCTGAGAGCTGAGGTGGCTGGAGACCATGGATGGCATTAGGATGAAAAAAGCAGTGTGTGCAAATGACAAAGTGGTAAAGATCTAAGAGGTTGTTTTGGACTCCTTTGCCAGTGAATGCCGAAGGAAATCTTGGCTACCAAGTCTTGTTTTTCTCACAGGATTTGTGCATCTATGAAGCGCCTGTCCCCTGACCCCCATTCCCTTCTCTGGGGTTTTCAGGCCTCAACCTCCAGCAAAGTTCTGCTGGAGGTTGAAGGTCACCCTCCTTCTGTAAGGTCTGCATGTTGGACCACCCCTAAACACCATCATTCAGAGAAGAGATGCAGGGCAGATCCTGTGAAAAGATATGTCAGTCACTAATGAGAGCTTTCCAACTCAGAGGTGATCTGTGTGAAATATGGGGTCTTTCAAAGAAGCAAGCAGTTTTTCTGTAAAACTGGTGTGGGGGTGTTTAACTTTATGCTTACATCTATTGCCAGTAAATAATTTTTCTTCCACAAATTGCATGGGATAAATCTGGAGTCAGAAGCCGCGAGGTGACTCAATGTCAATTTCTTTCATTTAAAGGTTATTGAGGTTACACAGTGGCCCCAGCATCCATCCATCCATCCAATGTTTCAAAGGCTTGTCCCCAAGGTTCCCTGGACTAACTGGAAAATAAAACTCTCCCACCTCACGATTTGTATCATTTATCTGGTGGCATTAGCATTTAACTAACAAATCCTTCTAAATGCTGGGGAGGGGAGGGAGGCAAGCAGCTGCTGTTGGCTAGATGAAAATGCAAAATTTAATCGGATGCAAAGAGCTGCTTTAGCAGATCTGCGTTGGTGGGTCACAAAAGAGCAGGTGGCCTTCTGTTTGGCCTCGGAGTCCTCCCTAGCAGAGCTAGCCCGACCACTTCACAAAGGGGACACAATCATTTAAGGCTCATGAGCAGCCAAGCTTGAATTGGCACATGGGTCTTTTCCACTGGAGGTTATAGAATAGAATGAAAACTTCATTGTCACTTTAAAAGTACACTAATTAGCATGCATTAAAATGAAAATTTGTTGCATCCAGCTCTCATATATACCCTCAGATAATATAACCACATACACACTCATATATGAGACAAAGAAACATCTAAACATCACAGTCTAGTTCAAGTGTATACTGCATATATGGGCATCGTCGTCCAATTTTGATTGAGGGGGAAAGTGCAAATGCCAGCTCAATCCCATGTGATCCAAAGATATTTGTGGTAGCAAAAATTAGTATTTTAAACTTTCAGATATATCTGGAGGACACAGATCCTCCGTGTGCGCACTCAGCAGGCTGTAGAATACAAGGAGTTAGCATTACTCTCCTCTTCCACCTTCCAAAGTTCTTCTTAGGCAGTCATCTGTGAGCTGTGACGCCAGAGACACCACTCTAGTGACTTTAAAGAATCTCTGGCCTCCATTGATGATCCAACTCTGCAGTGCCAAGAAATGATTTTTTGAACAACTCTCCATATCATCGTACTGTTGACAATGTCCAAGACAAAGCTCTTCCTTCCCTGCTTTTTTAAATGCCAATAATGTCACTTTTCCCCAAGGTCTCTTCCTCAGATCATCAACCACTTCCTCTCTCTTAGTCAGGATTAGGTCCAGAATTGTTGGCTCCTTTGTTTCTTCTTCCAACTTCTGAAAAATGAAACTTTCATGATCTGTTGTCGGATTGTGTCTAACAGTAGGCACTGGAAATATCCCGTTAACCTGCCCTTTGGAGAACTTGGCAAGTTGACTTTAAAAAGATGGCATATGTGAAACTTTACAGTTGTATCTACTTATTTCTTGCTCCTTCCAATCCTAACCAGAGGCTTTTAACAAGCTCTTGCATTCCAGAACATGAATTTGGGCTTATAGGCTTCTTTACAAATGTCCTTCAGGCACCACATTCATTAGTTGCATCCTGTGTTCCCATACCATATTTCTAATTCATCCTATTTGTTACTCAGTCTTTGTACAAACAGTGGGGTTTGGAGGAGTCATCATGTATTGGTCTGCATGCATTGAGAATCTTTCCTACTTCACAGGCAACCATGCTTTATGTAAATAAGTTCTCTGACTGAATCTGTGATTTCAACTTCCTCTCTCCTTCAGGCAATTCAAGTTTAAAGTTTGAATGATAACGTCCACAAGGCTCTCAACAAACATGTTTTCATCTGCTTTTGTGGGGCGTAGCCTGTCCCTTTCTGATAGACCTTAAATTGTTGTCTGGGAATCCAAACCTTTCTTGATGCCACCATCTTCTAGGCAATTTTTCTCCTCTAGGAGCCTTTCTTGTTCCATGTTAATCAACAGGAAAAATGGATGAAGACACTATCTGCAATTTTACTTTCCTTTTTTTTTATTGCACATTTTCCAACATTTACACCACATTTCCAATCTTTCAGTATCGATATCACTCATAGCTACATGTTGTGCCTCCGAGGTTTGAACCTGATCAGTCAGCAGATGTAGGCTCAAGTGATGAGGAAGATCTGGCATTGAGATTCGAGCCTGCATTATTGAGCGACATTGAAGGGAGTCAGGAGGAAGAAGAGGACTTGACTCTGAGATATGAGCCTGATTTACTGGAAGTTTCAGAGTCATCTTCCTCCCCTGAATCTCCCTCCCTGATTGAACCTCAGGTGTTGTTAACAGACAATCAGGAGAGCGTGCCGGAGTCATTAATTGAAGAACAAACCAAGCAGTGTTGGATAGATGCACGGCAAAGACATAAGCAGAAACGGGCCATTCAACGGACACAGAAAAGAGGCACTGTCCCATAAACGCCGGGAACATATCAGTCTGTCCTGAGAATTTATCCGGCACAGATACTGGGCATTTCCTAAGGGGAGGAGCAGGGGGAGCAACAGGGGCCTTCATCTGCATTAGATGATTAACCAGTTGGGTGACTTGGTTCTGTAATACCTGGTTATTCTGCAGGAGTTGGTTAATCTGTTGCTGTTGCTGCTCAAGCTGTATTTTGTCCATCTTGGATAGAAGATGGAGTAAGGGTTCAAAGCAAAAATGTTCTGTCTCACCTGTATCCACAGGTGAGAGTCCAAAGTTCCAAAGTACAAATGCTCAAACAGACAGTCTCAGACACGGCAGAGTTAACTGCTTCTGTTTACACAGTCCTTGGCAGTCTTCCTGGAATCTGTCTGGCAAGTCCAAACTAACCATAAATCAAGATGCTGCAGCCAAGTGTATCAGACGTAACACCAACCGAAATGACACCTTGCTTCGAACGGAGATTCAGACCTAGCACGCTTCCTTATATTCCCTCTGGTATTGACTTTAAAAATACCAGAACTATCGCCAAAACCAAACACTTCAACAGCAGAATAATCAGAGAAGCCATAGAGATAGAAAAACGCCCACACAGCATGAACAAACAAACAAACACTTCCATGTAGAAAACAGACTCACACCCACTCAGAAGATGAGACACGACCACGGAGCAGAAGCCACACTGCAGCTGCATCACTACCCACTTCAAACCCCTCCGAGCCATACATGAAGCAAACCGACACCCACTATGAAGATGCAGCACGACCACGAAATCGAAGCCAAACAGCAAGATCACAGCTCACCAACTCAAATCCCCCAGCAACTAAGACTAACCTGAGCACAACCAAGCCCCCACCTGAACAGAACA